TCCATAATTGTATCGCCTTTGGGAGGTATTTATAGACGTCGGAAGTCAAGTGAGAGACGGGTGGCTGTGGTGCCACATGTCCCACGTTGGCCTTCCCATTATCCCCACGTTTTGAGTAGAGGGTCTTAACTACCCCACGGAAGTTGTGTTTGTGGTGACCGCCATGTAACTTTGTTAATTCATCAGAGATTTTGAGGCTAAGTGTTGAGATGGTCTTATAGGTAATTTCATGCCGGTCGTCGGTCTTACATAGAGGTAGAGCGCCCCCAACGGGTTGACGATCTCTCGTAGAGGTAAAGCGCTCTCAAGGGGTTGACGGTCTCTCGTAGAGGTAGACGCACCCCGGGGGGTTGATGGTCTCTTGTAGGGGTTGATGGTCTCTTGTAGAGGTAGATGCCCTCGGGAGGTCGACGACTTTGCATTGGCGTGTCATGATTTACATTACCTATCTTTGGAAGTGATTTCTTATATTAACTGATATTATTAGCCCCCTATTTCCTGTCGATATTTTTTCAACAGAGGAGTAGCAACTTCCTTTATATGGATTTTTTTAAAAATAAAATTAGCTCGAGTGAACAAGTCGAGTAGTGCAATTTGGTTCGGGTAGCTATTCCATTATACAATTGGCACCCAACCAATGGGCATGATCTTGGAGAGAATTCTCCTCCCAAAAATTTTGAATCCCTTTTGCTTATAAAAGGGAGTGGTCCCTCACATGTGAGCCATTTTCTTCTCCTCCAAACATCTTAGTTCTTCCTCTCTTCCAAGGTAACTTTCTCCTCTTTTTTCTTCATTTTTTGTAAAATTATGTACAAGACTATCATTTCTTCTTCTTCTTCCGACGAAAACAATGATGAGGTCCAGTCAACGCCGAAAAAGATCCAATCGACTGGTAGCGCGGGGTCTGACTAGCCGAAGTCCTTCGGCGTCCCCCCTTCGTCTGACGGGCTTCCTTGTGAGTCTGATAGCCAAACTCTTTCAGTTGATTCTCAAGCATTTATTTCGAATTCTTCCAAGAGACATATTGACTCCACCAAGTCTCCAAACCAAAACTTAGAAATTGAGCGAGATCCAGCTGGCGAGGTCGTCCCCCTTGAAATTCCAAAAAGTTATAACCTTTACAATTCCCCGCTTAAGTTAGAGAAATGTATTGCTAGGTATGACCGGGTCGACGACTATATCTATAGAGCCCCCGGTCCCAAAGAGAGACTCCCCGGGTCCGACCCCTGTGAGATAGCGGTGTATAAAGACATCATGGATGGTGGTTTCCGGCTACCCATTCACCCTTCTTCGTGTTGATTTTTAATGAGTTTCATCTCACTCCTAGTCAAATAAACCCCAATGCTTGTAGAAAAACATTGTACTTCTTGTATGTTTATCTTAGAAGGAGAATTTTGCTTTCCATGGACCTCTTTAGGTGTGTCTTTGAGATGCATAAACTACTCAGTGCAATGCGTTTGTCTTTTTTACCACTATGGTCCCTTTGCTATTTCCTAAGTTCAGGAATTCGAATAGCGGTTGAAAATCTTGGTTTTTCTTTGCCCGGCCTTCAGCAGGTCGGTTTCTTTTCAATACCTATCGGCGGCATCCTCAAATTCGCATTTTCAATAGTCAAGTAGAAGCTTCCTCTACTCTAAAAGCTCAAATCCAACAGCTGGTTGATAAACTCCCTCTCGCACCTAACTTAGGATCGGTTCTGACCATGAGGAACATGTTGATAGTGGGGATGAGTCATCCTACTGGTAGGCTGCTTCCACCGGTTCTTATTATTCTTGACTTGCACATATTTCTTATTTGTTGTTTTTTGGGACTAATCTGTTTGGGCATGTGCATACAGATAAGGACTTCGATCTGGACGAGGTATTGAAGACCCTGTCGGGAGGTAACGAGGGCCTCGCTCCCATTGACGGTAAACTCTTGAGCTTCCCTTCCTTGTTTTGTGCTCTCACACTCTTTTGTTTTGCGAGCCTGACGAGCCTTACCTTACATGTACAGGGATGGAATTTGACCTGGAGGGGACCATGGACTCTATGCCCAAACAAGGGCATGGAAGTGACATTGAGCCATGCCCCGCCTCCTTAAAGAGGAAAAAGATGGCTGACTGCGGGAAAAAGTCTCAAGTAGCAAAAGAGACTCCCTAGCTCCCAGATGAGCCTATCGAGGTTGCTCCTATTGCTAGGCCGGGCTCTTCCATTCGCACATGGGGAGAGTGTGATGGTTCACCCCCTAATTTCAGGTTTTCTCTCACCCGGGGTTATCGTGAGATGGAGGTGCTTAAGTCTTTAGTGACACCTGCGCGGGCCAGGACGATTGCAAAACGTAGCGCAGACGACATCGAGAGGGCTGCGGCAGTCTATCTCCAGAAGGTATGCTTCTAATTTTTTTTACACTGAGTATTATTTTTTGCGCATGGTTATACCACTTGACTCTCATATTGTCTTCTCATCTTTTAGGTGGTGGCCCTTCAGATCGGGCTTGCTGAATCGAGTCGTCGCTAGGTCTTACAGCTGAAGACTCTTGCAGAGGAAAAGAAAAAGGAGACTCATCACTACAAAAAGAAGAAGATATCTTCCTTGAAGAAATCTCTAGAGGCGTCGGAGGCTCGAGCCCGCAAGTAGGAGACAGAGAATGACAATTTACAGTCTGTGTTGGCTCGTGCTCTAGAGGAAGTCGTTGAGAGGTATAAGGCCTCTGCTGAGTACACCAGGGACTTGGAGGCATCTGTTGAGCAGTATAAGTAATTGTCTAATTACGCTAGGGCTTTGCATTCGTACGGGGGAAAGGCGATGGCGGCGTCCATCAAGCTGACCAAGGAGGATATCGACCGAGCACCCTTCTATTGCCCCCTCAGGTTTCGATAAGTTCCTTGCACAACACAAGGGGAAGGAGAGTGGGGCGCAGTCATCTAGGTCACTTGGTCTTTCGTCGCAAAGCGGCAGTGATGGTGTTTCCCCCTCAAGTTGAAGCATGGCTTAGCAATAGCACCTTTTGTTAGTTATCCTCTTTTTTTGTCACCTTTTATTTCTACTTGTAGCATCATTTCCTACTTGTCCGGGGTGTGAACAAGAGTACATCACATGATTTTTGTATGAATGCTATATTATCAGCGATTATTAATGTTGAAACTTGTTTTTCCCAGTATTATGTCTCACGTTCAGTTGTTTAATAGTATGGGTAAATGTCATTAGTCCTGCGTGCGCTAGGCTTGATTACAATGATCGATGGCCTTAACCTACACTCTGACCATTTAGGTCTTTCTGCCTAGCCACATGGGCCGAGTTAGAGTTGAGAGAGGAGGTGTCGGTTAGGGGCCTTGGCCAATTTTTTAGCTTTTCAAAGCTCTTCGCCTTGCTGCATGAGCTATGTCGACCATCGGGAAGTGGTCCAGCGATTAAAGGCCCCAGCCAGTTTTTTACCTTTTCAAGTCTCTCCGCCTAGCCGCGTGGGCTATGTCGACTGCAGGGAGGTGGTTTGGCGGTTAAGGGCCTTAGCCAATTTTTTGGCTTTTCATGGCTCTCCGCCTAGCCGCGTGGGCTATGTCGACAGTCGGGAGGTGGTCCGACAGTTAAGAGCCCCAGCTAGTTTTTTAGCTTTTCAAGGCTCTCCGCCTAGCCGCGTGGGCTATGTCAACCGTAGGGACGTGGTCTGGCTATTAAGGGCCTTAGCCAATTTTTTGACTTTTCATGGCTCTCTACCTAGCCGCGTGGGCTATGTCGACCGTCGAGAAGTGGTTTAGCGATTAAGGGCCTAGCCAATTTTTTGACTTTTCAGGGCTCTCCACCTGGCCGCGTGGGCTATGTCGACCGTAGGGAAGTGATCTAGTAGTTTAGGGCCTTAGCCAATTTTTTGACTTTTCAAGACTCTCCGCCTAGCCGCGTAGACTATGTCGACCGTATGTCTTCGCGGGATGAGCGGAGAGATTCAAGATTACCTGTTAGCATAAAAAATACTTGGATTTGTGAGCTCAGTAAGCGCACCGGGACGTCCCAACTAGGCTGGTCTTTCCGTAGCCCCCTCATCATCTGCCACTGCCAAGGTCTTTCATTAAATAAGATAAGCTATTGCACCTAAGGGCACCTTCGTGAGGCGTTACGTGGAGAAAATGAACAATGCAACCTATTCTACTGTATTTACAAAAGAAACAGCCTATCTTTCTAATTTGCGGATCTACTGATAGTACTTTTTGAGATGTTCCGCATTCTATGGCCTACCCAATGGCTTCCCTTTCATATCTTTCAGACTATAGGCTCCTTTTTCGAGGATGTGGATTACTTTAGATGGCCCTTTCCAATTCTGCCCGAGCTTCGGTGGAGGGTGTCCTACTGCAGCTGCATCTCTTAGTACAAGATCCCCTGGTTGAAAAGCTCTGGATCTTACCCTTCGGTTGAAATATTCAGCGGCCCTTCACTTGTATGCTGACATTCTTATCGTTACCCTTTCTCTAGCCCCTTCGAGTAAGTCGAGTTCTACCCTGTGGCTGCGACGTCAAGCTGCTTGGTTTTCATTCGATCGGTCTCACTCAAAATTTTAACGGGGACAACTGCCTCCATCCCGAATGACAACTTAAAAGGTGTTTCACCAGTCAATTCCCGTGGGGTCGTGTGATACGCCCATAGTACATTGGGCAACTCGTCCGCCCAAAGTCTTTTCTCCTTTTCCAGCCTTGTCTTCAGATCCCATAGTATGGTTCGATTGGTCACTTCAGCTTGTCCATTTGATTGAGGGTGAGCGACTGAAGTCAACATGTGGTCGATGTGGTAGATTGTGCAGAAGGCTCTAAAACTGTGATTGTCGAATTGTTCGCCATTATCTGTAATGACTACTTTGGGTATGCCAAACTTGCATATTATATTTTTCCAGACGAAACCTTGCACCTTGGTTGTTGTGATGGTGGCCAAGGGCTCAGCCTCTACCCACTTAGTGAAGTAGTCTATGGCAACTATCAAGAACTTCTTTTGCCCGTTGGCAAGGGGCAAAGGCCCCAAGATGTCCATCCCCCATTAGAAGAAAGGACACATCCCAAAAACTGTCGTCTGTTGCTCGGTTGGAATGTGGATCAAATTTCCATGGCGTTGACATGCATCGCACTTCCTCACCAATTCCTTAGCATCTTCCTTCATGCTAGGCCAATAACATCCTTTTCGTAATGCCTTGAACGCAAGGGCAGTTGCCTCTTGGTGGTTGCCACAAATTCCTGCATGTATCTTGACTAGCACCTCTCGTGCTTCTGTCGGCTGCAAACATTTCAAATACAGTGCTGTGAAACCTCGCTTGTGAAGCAGTCCATCGATGATGGCGAACGAGGCTACCCCAGCCCTTAGCCTTCTTGCCGCGAAAGCATCTTCCGACAGCTTGTCCTTTGTGGGATATTCAAACAACAAGTGCATCCCCCATTCTCGACATTTACAAAATCGACCGCATGCTAGATGCTAGGTTGTCGCAAGATTTGCACGTTTGCTGTGCGAGGCAGATGTCTGGGGTTAGAGGATGCAAACTTAGCCAATGCGTCAGCCTACTCATTGTCTTTTCTGGGGACCTTTGATATTTTAAACCTGGTGAATCCCTTCTGCAAATTTTTGACCTCCATCAAATGCGCTGCCATCTTTCCATCTTTTGCTTCGAATTCCCCCGTCACTTGCCCGACTGTTAACTGAGAGTCACTATTCACGAAATAATTCTTTCGACGTTAAACTACCGCAAGTGCACGGGTCGTAACAAGTAATAAAGTGGATTTTTAAAAGTCCGAATATCATCTTACAGAGATTGAGTAGTTCAATTCTATATAATCTAGCCTTAACCGAATCTAATTGAGTGAAAATATGGTCCAAATGCAAAAAGCCTTAATTTCAATTAAAAACCCTAATTTCTCAATTAGAAACCCTAATCTCGAAATTTATCTAATTAAACGACTCAAACACTCTAGTAAATGAAATTATGCAAATTCAAAAGATAATTTATGGAAATGAATCAAAATAAAGTCACTAGGATCACGAATCTCCAATTGAAGCTATAGAAACCCTAATTTCATAAAATCAATGACCCGATAAAAATTTGTCAATTCAATGTTCCTAAATCTATCCAACATATTCTCTCAATATATATTAGACCTATTCTTGCACACCACCAGCCTATATCTCTATGGATGATGCAAATATACAAAAATGCATGTGGTTTTGTGAACAATTAGAGAATTGCATAAAGTATAGGAGTATATCTCTATCCCCTATCGGACCCTATGTTGATTTATACCTTATCGAACCTATTCCACATATCTTGAATGTAAGAAATAAGTCATCAACACTCACACAATCATTGGCCACTAATTGCGGAAGAAAATCAATGCATATAAACCAATCAAATTGTCCAAATAAGTCTTTATATTAAATTCATGAAATATGGAATTAAAATAACAAACAATGGTTCATCGATCACCTAGTGAATTGAAAACCTAGCCTAGAACATTCATAATTACAGAATAAAAAACGAACTTAATAAATTGAAAGAATAGCACCCGTATGAAAATTTCTTGAAATCTTGAATAAAGCCTTGAAAACCCGCTTGAATTCTTGTGGAATCGACTTCAAGATCGTGTTTCTTGCCTCCAAAAGTTGTAATTTTCTTCTCCCTGGACGTTCTACCCTATTTCTGATGAATTTTGGCTTTTATATCTTGTCCTCGCGGAGCCCCGAAAGAGTTTCAATTAAAAACGCAAGTTCAAAATATTTTTTGATCTTTATAGCCATGCGGCCGCATGGTTCAAGTGGACTGCCTCAATGAAATCCCTGCAACCTTATGTGCGGCCGCATGGCACAGTTCTGTGCGGCCGCATGGTTGTAACTTTCAACCTTGCTGTTTTGGTCCCCGAACTTCGTTTTCTCTTTTCTTGATCTCTTTTCTTTCTTTCCTTTGTTCCATCATCAAATATTGACTCCTAATTGATGTTTGGGTCAATCAATTCCTTGATCACTTGCTCGGCTCATCTTTTGATTATTTGCAATTTAGTCCTTCATCTTTCACTTTTCTTCAATTCAGTCCAACATTACTTCTTTCTTCCTCCGATCGTCTTGTATCATCCTCAATCTCATACTTGATATATTTTCATTCTCGTTTTGTACTTTAGCTCAACTTTTCAATATTTGCACCTTTGGTCCCCGGACTATCGTTTTGGTCCTTTTTCGGCTCTTTTCTTCTGAATTCCATCTTTTTCATAGAAACACCTACATTGCATGAATTTAGTGAGATTAAGTTACAATTCAACTACTTTGTCCATGTTTAAGTCATGTTTGTGAGCTAAATAAGTGTGTAAAAACACACTTATCAAATCCCCAAACTTAAACTATTGTTTGTCCTCAAACAATGTAGTGACTTAATGCTAAACAAACATGGCTTAATGGCTTGTCGTGTCTCAGGATTGGAACTTAGTAATAATAATAGAAACAATATCAAAAGTGCGAGAATTGAATCAACCTTTACTCATCAAATGCAATACTCAACGTGTGTGTGAACTCATGCCTACATATCAAACTTATGATTAGTTTATTCCTGACCCATAGTGGTCAAATTTATCCTTACATCACTCGAGAGATACACAACCCCCAAATGTATTCTTTTCACACAATTACTCCGGGGTGTATTATAAGGTTAGGAGTTTAAATAATTTTAGTCCTTACCCTCTCTTAGTTTGGATAGATTTTACCATTACAAGTTCACATATCAACAAGTAGAGACTCTCCTTATTTTGATTGCTTCAACCTTTAGGATTAAACTAAGCTACTTGCCTCGCATCAAGGTTATAGTTCTATCAACCAAATGTCCAACAAGGGGTTATTTTGTGTCATCTTCTCTCTTGCTTTCTATATAACCCATGTAACGAGCTTTAGGCGATGACTCCCTAACCAGTTGGCTTTAGGGCACCAGGTATTAAACCTTTGCAGTCTTATTCACTCGAGTTATAAAGGCTCGATAAGATGATTTTTTATCAATTTCTCCCTTTTCTTGCTTTCTATATGACTCATGTAACGAACTTTAGGTCGATGACTCCCAAATCAGTTGGCATTAGGGCATCAAGTTTTAAACCCTTACAGACTTACTTGCTCGAGTCATAAAGGCTTTTGAGAGAAGTGATGATTTTTCAATTTTTACTTTATGCCCCTTCTTTGTTTTTCTAGACATTTGACTTCCAAAACCATCCTCACTTAAAGCTTTCACCTATTTCTCACCTTCCGGGTTTAAACAATCCACACAGTATAATTTCATGCATGGAGCCCCCATTTATCTCCATGTTTCCCTACAATGACTCAACCATCTCCAAACTATCTTAAAGTGGTATTACGGGTTAATGTTATAGAGGGTTATTCTAGGTTTCTCCTAATTTATTATAAAATTCCAATCAATAACTTAACACGTGAAGTATGAGTGGCGTGCAAAAGAATGTCAAGCAATGCATCAACAAGTATTAGTAAATTAAATCCTGCACTAAATCCACAGTTTCAAGTTTATACATGTCCAATAATCACATCATAGCCGGCAAGGCCACCAAACCCACACAAACATGCAAAAGTTCATCAAGATTCACTCATCAAGCACGCATTATGCAAAAACTTGTCAAAATTAACGATGGATTGTGAATATGCAAAATAATTACAGGCCAAATATTTGTTTGAAATTATGCTACCATCCCCCAAACTTATACAATACATTGTCCTCAATGTAAAATGTAAAGTTAAACTGGCAAAATTTAAAATATGAACACAACTTGACAATAAGAGATTAACAAAACTCCCCTGATCAATTCGGTGGTTGTGGTATGAAGCTGGGACCCACAGCATCATCTTCAGGAGGAGATGTGAGGTGAGATAGGAGTTGTCTCAGCAACTCAGACTGCTGTGCTTGCTCGGCCTGAATGGCTTAAAGACTACTTTTCATACTTCCCAAACGATCCCAAGTTTCATTTACACGCCACTGTATACCATCTATTCTCCCAGCGTACATGTTGAACCTACCATTCATAGTCTCTACTTCCCTTCTTGCAACTGTGGCTTCATTCATAGTGCCTTTTGTATAGTCTCGGGAGGAGTAGAGGTCTCTCTGCACTTTTTCAACAGTGGTGGTCATCGTCTCGAGCCTCTGCTGGAGATTTTGTATATCCCTGTTAGTTCCAGTGGCGGTGGCAAATATCTGTCGAAGTAGCTGGGAATCCATTTCAGCTGGTTGTGGCGGGGCTTGTGGCAGGTATATATCTTCAGCTACCTGTCCTTCTTCCTGCGCATTATGTCTTTGCTGCTCAAGTCAGTCTTGTTCTCTCTTCTTCACCCTAGCTCGTTCCTGAGCTTCAAAAGTTGTGAGCTTTATCAGTGGGCTTAATTTCTCAGGCATCTCCCTTGCCTCAACTGTAACACCGGCTGCGAGACATATCCCGCTAATCAGATTAGGGAAGATCATCGAAGACCGCCTATCTCCCCAGGTCCCCAAATTCTGTATCTGGTCATAGATAAGAGTAGCTAAATCAACTTTGCATCCCTGGACTAAATGATATATGAACCTAGCGGTTTGATCCGTGAAAGTTGTTCGATGCGATGTGGGTTCGATATTATGGCACATGAAGACCCAAAGGATGGCTATGGAGGGAGTAAGCTCAATTTGATGCCACTCTACTGTGGGTAGGGGCCAAGCATTTCTCTTCCCAAAAGAACCTCCGCCACTTCATTCCAATTGAATTGAGTGGGAATCGGGACCACATTGTCCAAATTAAGATTGTAGAAGTCATGAATGACGGCTGGGAAGAACATTATCCACTTACCTCGCACCCACGGCTGGTGTAAATGTTCAGAATTCGGAGTCTCAATTTCATTATTGAAATTTGCATAAAATTCACGGACTATACTTTCATAAATCGGGTGTGGTTTTTCTACAATCTTATCCCATCTACAAATTTGTATTAGATTTGTCAACTCAAAACCACGAAAGTCCTCTAACCAGACCTGTCTCTCTGGTATCATGCCCCAATGGCGTATTATGTTCTCGTATCGAGCTAATGTTTGTGCATCTCGAAATCTTTGTACACCTCCTATTAGCTCTCTGGTGCGGGCTGTACCGGAAGAGGAACCAACTTTTTCTTTTCCCTTTGATGTTCTCTTCGGCGGCATCCTACAAAAGTAAGGAACAAAGTGTATCAAGTTCTTGAAATAAGAAAACGATGAAGAATATCATTGACATGCAAGAATCCCACAAACTTTCTTCAAAACGTGGGCAATATTTAACGTATGGAAGTCAATGTAACATCAGTATTGCATTAATGAGAAAAACTTAAAACTATGGCTCTAACATGCACTTTTTGAAAATTCGACCCACGACTAAGTGACCATCTTTAGCCCCGAGCATCACCGAG